GGTCTTCCAAGTTTGGAGTTCCGAGTTCAACTTCTCCTTTTTCAAAGACATTTTTGCTAAGTTAATCAGACTTATTATAACTGGTTCCCCTCTTTGATGTGCACATGCGTGTTGTCACTGTTGTGTGATTGTCAAAGTTTTTTTTCGTTTTCATGAAGAGTGCACTTGGGGGTGGTTGGACATGACCTTCAGGTAAGTGACAGCAGACTACACCCTCTGTTCCTCACTTCCTGCCAGTTCCCTTTTTTTTTTCCGACTGTTGTGCATTTTTCTGTTTTTGTTCGTTGAACTGAGCTTGGATCGGTGAAAAGTTGGGCACATAGGGGTGCAAGCCTGCAAGGTGCTTCTCTAGCTGTATTAGTTGGGTTCATAGGGTGCAAGCCTGCAAGGTGCTTCTTTTGCTGTTACAGCACCTGTACCCCTTTTGTCCTGCACCCTTCTGTCAACTCAACACTAGTTAGTAACTTAGTATGCTTGATAGCAGGAGGAACAGAGGGCTGCAGAGGGTGTTCGTTGTGCTGTGAAAGGTCTGACACAAGCCACACCGATGACAGCGCCCTCCCTCGGCCCTCGGCAGGGCTGTATACGCAATGTTGTTGTTGTTGTTGTTTTTTTTTTTTTTTTTTTTTTTTTTTGGGAAAAAGCAAAGGAGTCGATTATCATGATCAACATGAGGCCGGGAATCCCTCACAAACAAACCGGAAAAGAAACAGTGACAGTTCTGGGATCAGAGCCCAGCAGACCAGTGGGTTTTACCCCAACAACACTTGGCAAAGCCAACAACAAAAGGAAAACAATAAAGGTCCGGCAGGCTTTCGCTTGCCGAAAAACAACCAAAATAAAGGAACAACCTGAAAGAAAAGGTCGAATCTATCTAGCCTACCATTCTACTAGGGTAAAGCCCCTACTCAAACCCTGACTAACTCGTCAGGGTGGACCAAGGTCCGCCTACTCCTGGGCACTCTCTAGCCCCACCAATTACCCTCCTATCTTCCTACTGCGGAATTTGCAACCGAGTACCCTGGTTGGACGACCAATCGTCTTAATTCCTTAAACTTCTTCCCTCGAGCTAACCAATCCGCGTAAACCAATTTATTCCCATTTATTGTTACTAAAGTTCCCCTGTCAGCCCACGTATTACCGAACCATTCTCCACCCTGAACACTCCCAGACGCTTTCAGAACCCTCTTTCTCCAATCAGCCTCGATAGCGTTCCTGATCTGGAGCTTGAACATATTCACTTGCCCCTTATCTGCAACGTCTTCAGAGTCAAAGACCAACTTGTTGCGACCATTCCAGATTACTGCAAAACCAATTGCCCGTGTTACTTGTGCAATATAAGCCCAACCTGCTTCCAGGAGGAGGTTCTGAGGGACACCTCCCAAGAGTACCCATAGCCTATCCCACTGAAGAGCATTATTGGAAATTTTGGCCCAAATCTTGCTCCACCACTTCCAGATCCGGGCGGAAGCCGGACAGTCCCACCAGAGGTGACTGGCCGATTCATAAGCCCACTGACATCTCTTGCATGTTACATCTATATCCATACCTCTTTCCTTTAGCCAGACTGCTGTAGGAGTGGCTAACAGCGACAGAAGCCAGGGTGTCACAGCGAGTCTCTGACTCGGCAATCGGTAGAGTTGTTGCCAGCACCTGAGGACAGATCTGATCACATATTCTGGCTCAACATGTAATACCTTCACCCATCTGTCCGCAGCTACCATCTGAGGTGATCTCAATGCGATCTGCAGCTTATAACCCAGCTCTGATGAGTAGTTTAAAAGCGGCAGATCTGAGCCTTCAGCACCTCTCCCCCTCCATGCCCACTGAACTGGATCGACTTTACTATCTACAATTGGAGTTCTGTTGCCCCACAGAGATACCGACCATTCTCCTTCCTCATTACAAGTTTCCTGTGCTCTGACTTGTGCCAATCCTGGGGGTGGCCTGATATATTCCTCCTCGTCATCAACCTGGAATAGCTGTGTCGAAGCACGGCTTGGCTCTCTTAGCCATAGGTCTGTGTACCAGGTGCCCACGCTCCCTGGGGCAAGGATGGATTTCCAGGCATCTGGGATAGGGTTTATGACCACCGCCAGCTTCTCTTCCACCCTCCGAAGCTTCCCCGGATCCAGATCATCCACCGACCGCCAATCCAAACTAAAGTCATCCCGGATGTCCTTTATCCGGACAATGCCATTCTCGATCCAAGACCTTCCAAAGCTGCCCACTTTCCTGTCTGCAGGTAGCCAGTTACCCTCCTTATCTTTGATGTGAGGGTTCTCAAATATGCTCTGTAGCAGAACCTTCCTCCATGCCTTCAGGGTCGTATACGCAATGTCACCCACCCTGGCATGTTTTTTTTTTTTTTTTTTTGGTTCCCCAGACGATCCGCGTCCGCTATGTCCGGAAGGACCGGATCATATCCGGAACCCCAGATGCCCCGACTGCTCCGGACGTGCGTCCGGCTTGGGGTCCGGGTCCGGTTCCGGGTCCGGGTCCGGGTCCGGCGTAACCATGGTATGCCCTCGGTTCTGTACTTCAACGGTCGATGGGTATAACCAACTGCGTTACGGCAGCTGAAAGGTGTGACCCTAATGTAGCCTGTAGTATACTCAGGGCACGCTCACACTAGAACTTTTTTACGCATTTTTGGACGAAATTGCGGCCAGATACATCAAGGTATGGCCGTGAATGCGGTCATATACGTTTGAGATACTGCTAGTGTGAGTACGCCATCAGTCGGACTCGGGGCGTCGTCGCACCCACTCACGAGATGGGAAAAGACGAACAACAACATGGTGGGCGTATCTCTCCACGTTCTAGCGGGAGATAGATTTCCATTCCCGCTTTTCGCACGTCTGGTGGGTATTGCGGCGAGCCCCTGGGATTCGCGGACGCCATCACCAACGCCGCCCCACAACTTGAAGGTGGTTACCCGCCATAGCCTGGCTGCTTGCGTTCATCCAGTGTCTGGCAGTCAACATTTTCACTCGTACAGCTTCGCAGCCGGGCGCTGGATGACTCTGCGCGCGTGTTTGCCAGGAGCATGTTTCTGGTCTCGATCTGGGGATTCGAGGGGCTCGAAGATGGCTGTCGCGACGAAGGTTGTGGACGTGCCGTCGGCGGATGGATTCGATGAGGCTATGGAGAAGCTAGCGGAGGTGCCGAATGTGTATGTGGTGTTCCTTGCGGACAAGGATCGCTCGACCGGCCAGAGCTGGTGTCCTGATTGTCGAAAGGCGGAGCCGGTGATTGACAAGTGCTTCGCGGAGGCGGCGGCTGAAAAGGAAAGAGTTCTTGTGCGGTGTTACGTCGGGGACGGGCCGACGTGGCGCAATCCTCAGCATCCGTTTCGGACGGACAGCAGGCTGAAACTGACTGGAGTCCCGACTCTGGTCCGGTGGGAGAAAGGCGCCGTCGTCCGCTCTCTCGGCGATGTAGATTCCGCCAATCGAAAACTGGTTCTCGATCTGATTGCCTGATCTCTCTCTCTCTCTCTCTCTCCCCCTCCCTCTCTCTCTCTCTCCCCCTCCCTCTCTCTCTCTCTCKCTCTCCCTCTCTCTCCCTCTCTCTCTCTGTGGTTCCCTCTTGTGCGCGCCGCGCACGCCCGCGGTAACTCTCCTCTCTACGTGGCAGGTTTCGAACCATCGAGAAATTGGTTGATTGATTGATTGATTGATTGATTGATTGATTGATTGATTGATTGATTGATTGATTGATTGATCGACTGGCAGAGAGGTCGGTTTGGTGATTGATTGGTTAATTGATTGGCTGATAGAGGCATTCCACGGTCGAGCACATAACATGCGGTTTACTATCAGTCGCTGGGACGATGGTTCCGCTTGGTGAAATTGGCGGGGGGAGGGTCCAGAGGGGAGAAGGGGGCATATGAATGACGAGAAGGACCCACCCTTGGCCCCAGCTTTGAGATGGTGAGCGGATTACACATTTGGTGTCTGATGAGCATATGCTTGCTGACTTGTACCGGCATATGACGTGGGGAGCAGTCCCGATCCCGTCTGAGGCCAATGGCGGCGCTAGGTTGATCAGGCGAGTCCCGACCTGTGGGCGGACAGTCTCCTCGCCCACAGGTCGGAACAGGGGACTTTGGGGTGCAGGCAGGCAGGCAGGCTGACGACGGACCGCTATGGGATCCCAACAGACTTGGCGCGCAGTGACCGGTAGGCCAGAGGGGAAAGGCCGGGGAGGTAAAGGGGTGCATGACTTGTCGAGCTCCCGGGAGTTATCATATGGACATGCCACGTGGATTGATGATAGGGGGAAAAGGGGCTTTTTGATGAGCGTGGACACGCCACGTGGATTGATAATAGGGGCAGAAGCGGCTTTGATGAGCATAGTTAATGTGAAATGATTTAGTTGCAGAATGCACCTTCTTGATGTTTCCCGCGTCGCTGCTTCCCCGCCCTTTTCCCCTTCCCCCTTCCCCCTTCCCCCTTCCCCCTTCCGCCAACCCCCTCCTGGCGCGTGCACATCACGCGCTTTCGAACGGTGGCCTCACTTCGGTGCAAGCGCGTGAGCATGAGAGATGGTCGTTGCAGGCTGGTGCTAGGTTCATGCTAACTAAGTACGAACCTGGCCACTATTACGGCCTCGTTCGTGCCTCTGAACGTCCACCTGGTAGTGGGCCCTGGCCCTTTAGTTTCTTGACTCCAGGGATCTGAGGTGGGGCTGTTTGTTTGTTTGTTTGTTTCTTTGTTTGTTTTTGTTTGTTTGTTTTTGTTTGTTTGTTTTTGTTTTTTAGTGTGTGTGTGTGTGCGACACGACAACTTCACTTGTCGTGATAGAGAGCAGAATTGCAGCATCTACAAAGTGATGAAAAGGGAATGCGACGCAGTTCGTGCTGGCCGAGAAACAATCAATCAATTAAATCAATCAACGAATTGATCCATCCATCCATCCACCATCAATCCATCCATCAACCCGTCAATCCATCAATGCATGAATAATCAAACAATCAGTCAATCAACCAATCAAGCAATCAAGTGTAGAAGTCAGATTATGCTCGCGCTCGCGCTCGCGCTTGAGCACATATCATCCTCGAGCTCCTCAGGGTGTCGATGGGATAGTGGACGTTAATGCTGACTGTCGGGTCCTGGTCTTGCGAATATGCCTCGGGATCGGGACATGGGACACTGCACCTGGCCCTTTGCGTCGAGTGCAGTTCATTCGACGTGGAGTTCAAGGCGGAACACCCAGGTTAGAAGCTGGGACCGCAATATGCATGAGGACGCATAAGAGGAGAAATTCATTCAGTCCGTTATTATGCGCATACGAACAGAGCACACTAACGGTAGACACGAACGGAGCACACTAACGGTGGACACGAACGGCGCACACTAACGGTGGATACACACTAACGGAGCACTCTAAGGATCACACTACACACTAGCGGTGGACAGGAATGGGGCGCACCAACGCTGGACAGGAATGGAGCACACCAACGGTGGACAAGAGTGGAGCCTACTAACGGAGCACACTTAACGGAGCCTACTAACGGAGCACACTTAACGGAGCCTACTAACGGAGCACACTAACGGAGCACATTAACGGAGCACACTAATGGTGGACACGAGCGGAGCTCACTACACACTAACGGAGCACACTAATGGAGCACACTAACGGAGCACGCTAACGGAGCACGCTAAGGATCACACTAAACGGAGCACACTAATGGTGCACGTGGACAGGAATGGAGCATACTAACGGATCACACTGAAACGGAGCACTTTAACGGTGGACACTTCTGAGGACCACGATAGAATGGAACTGACTAACGGAGCTTACAGTAACAGAGCTTAGACTAACGGAGCTTGCTCTAACAGAGGTTAGACTAGCGCAGTTTAGAAAAGACCAGAGCTTACACTAACGGAACACAGTAACGGAGCATAACGGAGCCTACAGCAGAGAGTTTGTTAGGTGTGTGGGTGGGTGGAGAGCGGGGCGATAATCGACCTCCAGAGGAGGAGGAGGCTGTGTGTGATGGATGACCTTTGGTTGACACACTGTCTTCTCATCATGAAGGATCTTGCTGTTTGTGAGGAATTCCATTTGCAATTTTACCCATTTCTTTCTGCATTCGATTTGCAATTTTACCCTTTCTTTTTCTTTCTAATTCCCTTCCAGATACACGTGGATCTGTAACTTTGGGCGTCGCTCCGCTACTCACCAAATGTGCAAAATGCGAATGAATGTCTGCCCAGAACAAGGGAAGATACACCGCCATATTTTTTGTCTTTTGTCCATGTGGTCAGTAGTCGAGCGAGGCCCTTCGTAGTCAAGTGAGCTCGTGTTCTCAAAGGCAATTGTTGGCCGTTGCTTCTTCTTCTTCTTCTTCTTCTTCTTCTTCTTCTTCTCGCTTCGTCCCCTCCAGTGGCCCTCTCCTCTCTCCTCACTTCTCTAGCCCTTAATGTTAATGTAGCAGCAGGGGTTGCTGTGAAATATAGCCCTTAATGTTAGTGTAGCATCAGGGGTTGCTGTGAAATGTAGTGTAGCAGCAGGGGTTGCTGTGAAATATAGCCCTTAATGTTAGTGTAGAAGCAGGGGTTGCTGTGAAATATAGCCCTTAATGTTAGTGTAGAAGCAGGGGTTGCTGTGAAATATAGCCCTTAATGTTAGTCTAGCAGCAGGGGTTGCTGTGAACTATAGCCGTTAATGTTAGTGTAGCGGCAGGGGTTGCTGTGAAATATAGTATCGAACGTGTAGTAGTTTATACGATAATGTAGCAGCAGACATTTCACCGATGATGTGGCAGCAGGAATTGAACTCTTAACTTGTTGGCTAGAATCAAGTGTAGCTACTGTTTTGATCGGTTTATTATCTGGAAAAGAAAAAAGAAGAAATTATTCTTAACCTGTTTGGAGGCCCCTCAAAAAAGGATACCGCATTTCTGTGAGATGCCCCTCAAAAAAAGATGCCTCACATGCCCCCTCAAAGATATTTTGGGTATTCGGCGGACGCCTTTTTGAACTGAGGACGAAATTTGCTAAATTTCCACAAGTCTCTACTGGGCACTGCTTCAATTTTCCATATGCCCAAGTACTTGCGGCTGTTGGCCTTCAATTTTCCATATTCTAGTGGCTCTGCTGCAATTTTCCACAAGTCTCTACACACAAAGGAGGAAGAAGAAGACGAAGAAGAGGGGGAGGAGGAGAGAAGAAGAGGAGGAGGAGGAGAAGGAGGATAAGATGAAGAAGGACAAGAAGAGGAGGTGGAGAAGGAGGAGAAGAGGGAAAGAGCACACGCACATAGGAGGAAGGAGAGGAGGAGGAGGAGGAGGAGAGGGACAAAAAGAAGGCAGGAAGCATGCGTGTCCACGAGCACACACACAGGAGGAAGAAGAAGAAGAAGAAGAAGGAAGAGAAGAGGAGGACGTGCAGAAGAAGAAGAGGAGGTGTAGAAGAGGAGGAAGAGAATATGAGGACAAGAAGAAGACGAGGAGGAGGAGGATGAGAAGAGGAGGGGAAAGAGGAGGAGAAGAGGAGGAAGAGAGGCGGAGGAGGAGAAGAGGAGGAAGAGTGGATGAGACGAGGAGGAGAAAATAAAAAAAATTGGGGAGGCGCTCATGTCAATGCACACATACAAAAGAAAAAGAGAAGAAAAGAAGACGACGGAGGAGGAGGAGGAGGAGGAGGAGGAGGAGGGGGAAGAAGAAGAGCGGGGGCGGGGCAAGAACTTGCGTGTCTGGGCGTGTTCACACGTGCGCGTGCACACACATAAGAAGAAGAAGAGGACGCGGAGAAGCGGGACGGACGAGGAGGAGGAGGAGGAGGAGGAGGAGGAGGGGGAAGAAGAAGAGCAGCGGGGGGCGCAAGAACTTGCGTGTCTGGGCGTGTTCACACGTGCGCGTGCACACACATAAGAAGAAGAGGACGAGGAGAAGGGGGGGAGGAGGAGGAATAGGAGGAGGGTGAGGAAAACGGGGAGAAGGAAGAGGATGCATCAGACTGGAAAGCTTGTACACCTTGTCCAGGGTGTGTTAGTGATTGATGAATAAGAAAAACAGTAGTCTATTCTCCTGCTTGTGGGACATGGCTACTGTGTAGGACAAGGCTCCTGGGTAGGACTTGCATAATAATCATGAACTTGGTTTAGAAAATGGCATTGTTCTGATTGGATAATGAAGGAATGAAGGAAATCTTGAAAATGTCACTGTGGGAATGAACCTAAGCCTCTTGCCGTCTCCATACAGACCCCACCTGCTTCACCATCTTGACATCCATGTGCAGTCTTAGCAGGGGAACGCATGGAGTTGTCTTATTTTTGTGCTTTTCAAAATTGTAGATGTTTGGGAAGTGGAAGATGTCTTTTTCTTTTTTTATTTTTATTTTAAAAAGGGCGATGGATGTCTTTTTCTATCTTTTCAGAATACTGAACAGAGCCTCCTTAATGGAATGATTGCAATAGTTGTAGCCAAAGGGTTAGGGTATACTCCCACGGGGATAAATAACTGACTGCAAATTCAGCCACAAAAATGCGCGTGAGAATGCTCAGATATGTCATTTGGGTGGGGGATTTGGGGCCCGGGTTGCAGTTGCACCCTGTAGCTGCATTTTGCTACCTGCTGCAGAAAGTTGAGGCTGGGAACACACAACAAGGTGAGCTAGTGATCCTGGTTAGGTGTGTGTGCGTGTGTGTGTGTGTGTGTGTGTGTGTGTGTGTGTGTGTGTGTG